ATACACAGTTCCTATTTCCCACCAATGCTCTGGGAACTCGGAGAAACACGATAGATTCCACCTCATCTTTCTCCCAATTTCGCAATGCAAGCCATCGTAGCCTTTCTTTGGCAAGAGCTAACAGCACCCAGGGGAGCATCGATGCAGGTAACTTCTCAAGAAGCTTGTTTTAATATCTGTGGGTACACTGATGATAGGCAGTTATTGTGAAGGATGGGCACATGTCTTAGTACCAGTTTTAGCTTAAATTAAGCAAAATATAGTCTCATGTTGTGGGTGGAACACAGTTCATTCCGTATTTGTTTAGCAAAGCTTGCTTATGGGTGATGGAAAGTTAAGTAAACGAGCGTGTTGGTCGTATTGACAGCTCCTGATGGCACTCAGTGTGCCTCTTCCTGTCATCACCATCGTTTGTTCCTCCTGCATCAGGCTTATTGTTATCTTCCTTTGCTATGGAAAATTTACAGTGGCAACACAGTAGTCATAAGCTGAAGGTGTAAATTCCACTTGTAACCTTTATTAGGCTGGAATGGGTTGTGTTTACAAAACTGGACACAAAACATAAGCCAAAGCACTATATGCTTAAGATATTTTGGCATGATAAATGAAACAAATCAAGACATTTGCATAAACAGATGAAAACTTGTTGCCAGGAATAAAAGTCATTGTGGAGCTTTATATAATTTTGCAGTTCTCTAAGCCCTAAGTTCACATTTACCAGGTAATTCAAAAGCTGCACGCCCTCTACATCTTTGCAAATCACATTAGTATAGAAATATTTAGAGTTTTCAGGATTTAGAGCAATTTTTCATCTCTGTCAAAAATCTTGAACAAAGACAGTATTGTGCAATATCTGTAAAATTGTTTGCCACTTCTGTTAAGTCTAGAGATTTCTTGATGTAATGAATTCCTTTCTTATGTTTACTGTTGTTTTATAGGTAGTGACCTGGGAGACTTTGTTGAATATGACCCAAATCTTTTAGATGATCCCCAATGGCCATGTGGCAAACATAAGCGGGTTTTAATATTTCCTTCCTATATGGTAAGTGATTTAGTGTAGCTCAGATAAATTTTGGTAACAAAACTTTGAAGGTTGAGGTTGCATTTGGCTGTATTTTAAGAAGATTATTATTATTTTTAATCTAGTAATAACAGCTGTTTGGAATGCTTTGTTCTAAATGACAGTTACTTACCAGAACATGTTAAAACAAACTCATGGAGGTATTACAAAAGTAAATGCTTTTATTACCACTGTATTTCATAAATGCTTTAGATGAAAGGCTTGTTCAAACAATGCGTTCATTCTCTCGCGTTCAGAGGAACATTTATACTTCCTCGAATTGGCTTCTATTACAAAATAGGAGGATGCCCATTGGGGTTTCTCTGAAGTCATGAAGCTGCGCTGTGTTTTGATGCTTATCATTCACTCCTCCGAACAGCTTTTTTTCCCAGGTATTAATTTCACCATGGGATAGTCCTTCCTTTAATTCCAGCAATTACGAGTAGAGCCTGTATATTTCTCACTATATTCAAACCCTTAACGATACAGACACATAACTCGCTCTATGCTCTAACTCAGTGTTTTCTGTGGTGAGACACTTCTGTAGCCTTTTCTTGGTTGCATCACACCTGTAGACTTCAGTGTGCTATTTTGGCAGGACTGCTGCAAGATGCAGTGCAGTCATACACATGCGAGCATGTATCTGTCTGGATTATCCGGAGTAGTAGTAGGCAGTAGAGAAAAGATTCTTGTTTTTTTCCCTGAAGCACTGACCTAGTACTCTTATCTACCGACATCTAAAGTGTTGTCCATGTTCTTGCTTAACTTGGAGCAGAAGATATTATTTAAGAAACTACTAATGTATGTAAAGATACGGTCTTTCTATGTTCTTGTCTGCCCTCCACCCTGGGGGTAATTTTGCTCTTGAGTGCTCCTTCTTCAAAATGAATTTTAAGTGTTTCATGTAGATTGAAGATTATCGCTGTGCTAGCAGGAGTGTTCAGCCTGTTGTACACAGAGGCTTAATTGAGCTCCAAGGTTGTGTTTATGCTAGATTTTCAAACGGGAAGTCCAGAATGTCCTCTGCTTACTTTCAGCCACTTTTCCTTTAAGGGTTGGCAAGTTATTTTTTGCCTGGCAGCCCACAAAGTGACAACCTTTTCTGGTAGCTACATCTGTGTGGGAAAATATTTGTCAGGTTTTGATGTGGTTATTGTCATACACAGGGAACTGTCTACCCTCAAAGAGAAAGACATTGTTAGCCAACATCCAAAGTGAACATAGCTCTAGCAGTCATGGTTGTGTTTCTGACCTTTCTCAAGCTGCTAATGTGCACCAGGCAGTACGAGTCCTGTAGGATCACCTGGGATCTTTGATCCCTTTTCAACTTGGTGTCATGATGGAGGTGGTTGAGTGAATCAAAATAGGACAGCCAGGATAGCATCCTGCAGGGGAGGTCTCCACCCAGAAGTGGTTGTTCAATACCCTTCTTCTCCATTTGCTGGTTGACTACAGCATTTTGAGGTCTATATTTGTATTTTTATTGCAAAATGGAGCTGACAGGGAATTTTCATTGTGAGAGAGTTATGATTAAATACTTTAAAGGTGAAAAATGGACTTCAAGGGCAATTGTTAAAATCAATGTCATCATTTATCTAGAATATACCTGCATTGACAGAGATCTCCCTGCTTTTTCTTTTTCTCTAGGTGTTAATTACTGCTGTGTCTGGAAAAATGTCTTATTTGACATTCTGGGGAGGGGGCATTGCCTGAATTTGCCTTCCAGATATCACTTCTTCAGCACTGCCTGAGGGTCCATGCACTCCCATCTCCCTCTCTGAAGGCAGGCACTAATCTAAAAAAGGGCTGAAGGACATTAAGTGAGGTGTTTCTTTTGTTAGTGGGAATCACAAGAATGTGCCAAGAGCTCTCTTGTTCTAGGATTTCGCCTGCCTGTGGTTAAAGCAGCGTAGCTGTGATGCCACATAGGAGCTTTGCAAGAAGCTAAAAAGTGGGTGGTTGTTCCTCAGTGTTCACCTGAAAGATTTCCTTAGCAGCTGGTGTTTCCTTCAGCCAAGAAAAGGGAGAAAAGGTAGTGCAGGAGTGTCCTGGGAGCTTGCAGGTAAACAGGATTTTTCAACTCAGGCAAGGAGGACTTGTGCATAGAGCTAGCGAATATAAGGCCATGTTGGCTACATAGGAGACTTTACTCACATCCATTTTAGACTTTCCTGACTCCACTGGCATTCCCTCCCCCTGCAGTTCACATCAGTGTTAGCAGCAATTTCAAGTCATTTTCTTCCCCAAATATAAAAATCGGCGTATGCTGCAATTAAAGCAAATTGCAGTCTGGGGCCATCGAGAAGCCTGCGGTTTTTTCCTGACCGTGCACAGCCATTGTGGTAGTGACAGACCTCAGCCAAATGACCGCAGAGCTGTAGAGCTGCTGAACAGAGACTGAGAGCAGCCGCTGGTCCCCGAGCGGAACACAGCTGTAATTACTGCCTCTCTCAAGCCCCGGAGCAGCTGAGGGCGTCTCTGATGTCAGCACCCAACATTTTGTTGTGCGTGGAGAGCTGCAGCTTGTAATTAAAGTTTTGTTACTTGGCCAGGATTTAGCATTAACGCTTGACAGCTGCAAGCTTGTAGATACTCCCCTCGCCCCTCCTTATGGATGTCAGAGCAATTAATGGGGGGAAGGTGTGCGAGAGGAGTGGATGCTGGGCTGCGGCACTGACTGCGGGATAGAGCTACGCGCACTGATATTACTCCCCTGAGCCTGGCTCGTGCTTTGCAGGCCAGGATTTCTCCGCTGGGAAAGCTCTGTTGAGGTCTGTGTGAATGCTGCATCAGTAAACACTGCAGGCTTTATCCTGAGGCATAAGATGGACAAAATGTGTGGTCCGGTGTGGATTTTACTCAGAAATTTGTGCAACTGGCACTCGATGTGCTCCATTTTTGTGGAGCCCGAGTTTATCATCACTGATATTGACTTTATAGTCTTTTAATTTTACTGAGCTGAATTAGTCCTGACTTGCAGATGAGCTTTAACTGCAAGTCCTCAGCCGTTTTAAAGGAGGAGCTGAGCTTTCTCCTTGAAGACAGCTGTGGGGAAGAAGAAGTGCTTACAGTTTGGTCTTTTTTTTTTTTTTTTGTAGTGAAATTCCTGGCTAGAAAACGTATACACTTCCCTGTTGCATTTCTAGAAGTAATACCCACAAATTGCCTGTCTAGGGACAATTCGAAAAGTATTCTTCATTTCCCAACACAAACTCTACAGCTTCTATTAATTGTATTAGTTGTATTTAAACTCTGGTGTTCACTGGAGATATTATTTAATTTTGTGTTGTCTTTGTAGGAGTCTGTAATATCTACCACAATATAAATAGTAAGAGGTAGAAAAATTTCATTCTGAGGGGTGGGGGGGAGGAGGGAAGCATCATGTCATGGTTAACAGATGTCTTCCTGGCTGATACTGCTAAAACAGGAATTCTTTCGGATCCTTAAATCTCTCTAGAATAGGAACTTTATCTACCCAACAGAGCATTAATTTCTTTCCTAGAATATCATGTTGACTAGGAAACGTACAGAATCATCAATGTCTCCCTAGTCTCCCTGCATTCTTTCCAGCAGAAACTCCTTCTGTGCAGAAGTAGAAAACTCACTGTCAACAGCTGACTCCGCAGTCCTGCTTTTGTTGGTAACACAGAAACACGGAAGCATGTCAACTGGCCACTGTGCACTGCAAAACTTGCAGCAAAAGAAGAAAAGCCCAGATGAGTTGTACCTTGACTTTGAGTGATCCTTCTGTAATAACATCCCTGAAATATCCATCTATCTGTGCCCATGGGATAGATGTGGAACTAGGTTTGGATACTGAACTATAATTTCAGTGTATTGTTTTAATTATATAAAAATAAATTGACATCTCTACACCACTAATAAAAAAAGCATGTCACAGAAGTCTGCAGTGCTGTCTGTCAGTCTGCATTTGCTAGGTACTGCACTAGCATCAAGCACAGCCAGGCTGTGTTATTAAATATTAGTCCTCCAGTGTGATTTTAAAATTAGAACTGCTTGCTGTCCTGGCCATTTGGTCTAACAAAAGCCCTGCATGATGACATAATGCATTTGGTCTCTCACTCCCCCATTCTGTCTTTCACAAGGAGCATCAAGGTCAGGAGGACTCCACTGCTGCCAATGTCCTTTGGTGCTGTCACCCTATTCTTCGAGCCACTTCCGTAGCTGTAAATTAAGTATCTCCAGACTGCTTTTTTATCAGCTGCTGACCTTGTACCCAAAAGTCTCAGGGAGCAGAGTATTGCAGTGGTGGTAGATAATATTTAAACCCTGTGCTCTATGCATTTGATGCTATATTTGTCTGAGACTCCAATAAGCAACTATTTTGTTACAGTGACACACTGTATTAATTGAGAGTAATTCCAGTGTGTTAACAGTATAAAATAAACTGGCATCCTTTCATGTACTTAATTTCAAAGAGGCAGTTTTGAGATTATTTGCTTTGTGGAATTTGAAATCTTTCAGTTTAAGATCCTTGAATGTTAATAACTTTCTAACAACAGAAACATCTTATTTTAGTCTATCTTTTAATTATAATAAGCAGTCTGTCCCATTTTCCATCACAGTTTTAAGCCTCTGCTCTGTCAGGATTTCCCATATTTATGCATCTTCAGCAATAAGTATATGAATTAGGTTACTGGCAGTTAATAGGTACGTAGCTGGTCATCTATGGTGTTTGTTAAGGTAGCCAGGCATTGCACAGTCATTGACTTCTTTTCACTTCTTGTTTGGCTGAGAAGTGACCAGTGACCTACCAAAAGTCTGTTTCAGGTATCAGTCTTCTGTCTGGTCTCAGTAAAGTAGATTTATCAGGGGTACACAGTACTGACAGCTGAAGAGAGCCTGTCATATATCTTTCATTTTATTCACCTATTTTATTCTGGTTTTATCCTTCTTAAGCAGGAGGTAGAGGCATCCAAGGCTAGATCATCTTTTACTGGTTGTGTGCCAAAGTAGGATTTATTTTCAACAATATTTCATCCTGCCAGTCTTTCTAGCCATTTCAGGCATCCTCTCTCCTCTCATATTTATGAAACTATATATACAGCTTTCCTATGAGAAAGCAGCTGCTTGAAAACGCTTGTGAATAACACACAAGCTAAGCTCCAAGTTCAAAACTGCCAACCATGCAGAAAGCGTGCAAAGTACAGACTTGGGCTGAAGCGTTCATCATGCTGTCCAGGCATCTGTCAGCTACCATATATCAAGGTTTTCATTAGTCTTGTGCAATTTCCATCACCAAACTAAAATATACATACAGAGATTTGTATACAGAGAATGTGAACAGAGCCCACGAAGGAGTATTGCTGAATACTGAAGTGTGTTTCGTGCAAATAAGCTGTGAGAAACAAGACAGACGGTTGTGGATGACAGAAGTTAGAAATATTGGAGATTACAGTATGAGAGAGACAGTTTGGTAGTTCCCAGTGCCTTGCTCTTGTGTCTGACAGTTCTGAGAATACAGAGTGCTTGCCTGGTAGGGAATAATATTATGTATAAGAAAGTATGTTTGGATAAAAAAAAAAAAAAAGCTGTGCTCCTTTTAGGGAACTATTTGCAAACCCTTCACAAAATTTGGAGCATCAGTGTTGAACAGTGCTCTGACGGACAATACCAGACTCGTCCTGGCAGACAGACATGTATTCTCCTCCACCTGGGACCTTTGTTTAGGCAGGCAACTCAAGTGCAACAACATGGCCTAAAACAGAGAAGTGTAAATGCTGAGCAGAGAGAAGGCAGAGAAGGATAACATTGGGTCTAAGCCCTCCCCTGTCAGATCCCAGCTGGTTTTTGTGGGTCACTGGGCCATCCCAGAGGTTTCCTCTGCTCCATTCTTCATGGGCAAGGGCAGCAGCAAGGGGTTGCTGCTCAGTGCCAAGCCATTTGCGGGATGCATGAGGTGCCCTGGGCTGGAGCCCAACTGGGGATTGGGATTTCTCTGTAGACTTGTGAGTGCTGTTCCCCAGCCAGGGCATGAATAGCAAGAGGGGTGCTCAGGTTCCTGGTCAGAAACAGTTTTAGGAGGTAACTGATTTGATCACTCAACAGATGCTGATTCAGCATTGCTTTTAAATTACCTCTCAACTATACTCTTTAGGTGTTTTTTGCTGCCTGCCTTTCTGGTGGGCAGGGTCCCACATGCATAGGATGCATTTCTATAGGCACCAGCTGGGCAAGCAGCAACCTATTATTGCTCAAAGTCCAGCTTCTGCAGCAGCTACAAAGGAAAAAAAATCAAGGGGGGGGGGAAACTTGCACAAATCCTTTTCTTGAGAATAAGGGCAGTTAGCTGAGTTCTCCAGCATGGCACTGACAAGACGAGACAGTCGCCTTAGAGCCAGTGTGTTCAAACATGTTGCCATTATCCTGTTACATGAATCAAAACCAGCACACACCAGCTTTCATCTGGATTTCATTATTGTGATTTATGTCATAGAGACTGTTGTCTTGCAGGAAGCAGCAGTATTCAGAGTTGGAGGGGGGAGATTCTTATCAACAGGACAAAACTGGCAAATCTCTGTGTTTAAAAATAGCTGTACTTCTTTACCATTTTCAGTTTTAAGCTGCCTGCTTAGTCTCCAGTGTCTGAGTGCTTTGCTTTAAATGAAAATTTTTAAAAGAGCTTTTCTCCTTCTAAAGAGAATTTAGCTGAATTCTGGCAAATCTCCCACAGTCTAGAGAAGTCCCAGGTAAAACAAGTTGGTGCCTGCAGAGCAGCCACAGGAAAAGGTGCACCCCAGGGGGCTGCTGCTGCTGCTGTGAGGCTCACTCCTCCCCCTCTGCACAATTGCCCCCAGAGCTGGGGTAACCCTGGCACCTACTTGTTAGAAGTGAAAGCAACTGAAACTTGCTGTCTGGCATAACTTCTGTGCAGCCTGTCAGCTGAGCCTCCGTCCACTGCTGTGCCCTTTCTGCTGAGAGGTGGTTTTTGTCATGCAGGTGAGGTTCCTGTGTGTTGCATTCTCCTTCTGGGCAAGAGAAGAAGATAACCTGAAGAGAGCCAAAGACAAGTCTTCCAGAAAAACACGTGATCACTTTGAGGGAGATAATTAAGATGAAACTACAGAGCTCAGGAGCTCCGTGGTAATGAAGAACACACAATGGGCATTTAGGTTTGTAGTGAAGCATGAAATAAGCTGTCAGGTAGCTTTGCACAGTAACACTGAGCTCACTGTTTCTAGGATTGCCCAAGACAACCAAAAGTTGTCTGGTAGTAACTGAAATCATCTTTGGATTTAATAGTGTGTAACCTCTATGTGCTTAGTTTCTCTTGACTCTGTAAGCAAGAGCAGCATGGCCTGATGTTTCTGTACCTCGAGTAGCAGATGGCACCAGTCTGAATTATATGTGGCTTGTTTCAGTGCCCTCTTATAGCAGTACCAAGAGGAACCCTCTTAACACATTAAATTCCCAGCATATCTGTACATCAGAAGCACCCAGCTTCCTGATGATCCTTTGACAACAATGCTGAGGAGTAGGCAGGCAGGCAGTGATGTTCCAGGGAAAGAAAGGAAAGGAGGAATTGGTAAGATCTTAATTCTTCTGCTTCAGAGGGCTGAGCCCTGCCAGGTGAGATGAAGCACGTGAGAAGCTCTCTGCAGTGAAAGGCCACGGTGCGTGCATACATCCTTCCAACCTCAGCAGGAGGAAGTTTTCCTCCCTGTCTTTTCCTCTCTTTGTTTTTTTTCAGGTGTGGTAGCAAATTGCTTGCCTGAGCATCAAGGCTGCATATGAATTTCTAACCTCAGTGGCACTTCACTATCTGTCCAGACATGCGCTCAAGTTCATCCGTACACATGCAGAGCAGCAGGGGTGGCTGAACATGTGGCTTTCTCCTATTTGATGATTTCCTATAAGGGGCAGCTTTCCTTAATAGCGCTGAATTTCCTTAATAAATTATTCTCTTTACTGAGCAAAATTTGGACTAGTGCTTAACACCTCAGTGTGTTGGAGGGGGCTCACACAAGCATTTATACTTAAAACAACTTTAGGCGACTGTTGTGTGTGACGTGCCCAGGAGAATTATCTGGCAGGACGTAGTGGGGAGCAATTTATCTGACAGATGATGCTTCTCTCACTGCAAATCAGATAGCAGAATGGCCCACATTTTAAAACATGAATATGAACATAACAACCCCCCATGCCAAGAAGTTGGTTTTTTCCTATTGCACTATGTTTACCTCAGATACTGCTGTGTGCTATTCAGAGGAAACACATGCTCTGCTTTCTTTTAAATTCCTATAATTATCCATTATTTCAAAACCACAGCTCCTAAATAAAGTGCAGGAAAAGTGAGGTATGTTTTACTCCCCTTCATGCTTATTTTGGAACCAGAGAACAACATGACTGGATAAAAGGAATTGTCTGCTTTCTGTCTAGAGCTGTGGCACTCTCTTCCCCCAGCCCTTCCATATACTATGGGTAAAGTATCTGAATATTTATGAAAAAAATGAAAACATATACAGTCAGTCTGTTTGGCTGATTTATATTCCCATGAGGATATGTTACAGCAAAGCTCCATGTTCTATAAAGGCATAAGGTGCAGCAAGAGTTTTGCATGTCTCTTTCCACCTCTTGTTGTTACTAAAGGAACAACAGAAGTGTTGAGCACCATAGATGAGGGCATTGGCATTGCAGTATTGGTCTGGAGAACCCTCTGCAACATGGGGATATTCCTTAGGTTGTAACAAAAAGGAATAGGAAGTTCAAAAGAAATAGGTTGTACACTTTGAATGTTGTCCTAACTCTTTTGCCCACTGTCTAATTAACGACAGCATTACTGTCTTGCACTCCACTGAAGTGACCTTAGCCATGTGGGCTAATTACCTATTTTATCACAAATGTATGCTATGGCAGTCAAGAATTTGTACCAGCATTTTCTTTGAAGAATCAATTTGAGAGAAACTTAATATGTCTCAGAACCTCATGGAGATATGCACACCAGCTCTGGTCATCAAAACAGTTATTATGATGATTTTTTTTGTTGTTTTTCAAGACTTTTCAGGTAGGTTTCCTCCACCCACATTTGTCTTAAACTCACTCTTCAAGGACGCTAATGAGGTGTGTATTGTTCAAGAATTATGTTGAAGGTCACTTGTTTTGGTGGAGCAGTCACAAATTGTTGCCTTAATTCAGATCTTATTTTCCTATCTCCTGAAAGCATCGGGACTGACTAGCACTTGTTTGGTATTCCTTGCTTCTGGGAACTGAGTGATCTTGTTTTTTACAAACTGAAAGAGCAATTCTCTTTTGATGTGTGTTACAGACCACAGTCATAGACTACGTGAAGCCATCAGATCTCAAGAAAGACATGAATGAGACCTTTAAGGAGAAGTTCCCTCACATCAAGCTAACCCTCAGTAAAATAAGAAGGTACGTTTCAAAGCTCAATAAGGCTGCAACGTGACGCAGCTGTCTCACATTTCAGTGCAATTCCTGCTGTACATGAGGGGAAGCAGAGCACTGATAGATCTTCCAGGAGCAGTGACCGGCAGAGGTGCAGAGTAAGTCAGATGATTGCTTTGGTCAGTGGGCTGAGTAAACAGGATAGAGGAATGTACAAACATGCACCAATCAGGTGTCAAATGCGAAATCTAAGGGATGAAGATGAGAGCTGGGCATGCACTATACTAAAATACCCAGAAAAATAACACAACAGAGTCTCTAAGCTTATGGCACTTAGCTTAAAAGAGACTGAGGAAAGAGAAATGCTGACTTTTATGCCTTGTGGAGAAAGCATGGTCAGGAGCAAAACGAGTGGACAGCTTCACAGCAAAGTTGTAATATTTCATCTGTTTCTAGTGTAGCAGGGTAGGCATACTGCTCCACTGAAGTAATGACAATTTCCTTTGACCCTAGTGGCCAGAAGGAAACTTGAGCCGTGTTGCTCTGTAACCAGACAGTGCTGCAGTACATGGAAAGACTGGCAGTTTGTATTTGACCAACCATAAGCAGCAGCAAAGCTGCATATAGAGCACCAGTAATAAAGCTGTTGTTACTAAACAAATTGTATGCAGCATAAGACCTCTGATGAAATATTGTAACTAAAAATGTCAAAGCTTTTCAGTTACTTTTCTAGTGGAGGGGAAGGGTGAGATGGTGAGATCAAAATGTGCCATGAAATGAGCCCACAAAACAGAGCATAAAGATATCTCCCCAGTAAATTATTATTATTTTCCCCTCCATTTGACTAAGCAGGAATCTCTGAAAAGATGACAGGGTGAAATGCGAAACACTTTAAAACTCAGTTCACATCATACTTGTCTGGTCTCTTTACTCAGCTTGAAGAGAGAAATGCGCAAGCTTGCTCAAGAAGAATGTGGTTTTGAAGAGCCCACAGTGGCCATGGCCTTTGTCTACTTTGAGAAGCTCGCTCTCAAGGGGAAGCTGAACAAGCAGAATAGAAAGCTTTGTGCTGGAGCTTGTGTTCTTTTAGCAGCCAAAATTGGCAGTGACCTCAGAAAACATGAAGTCAAGCATCTTATAGATGTACGTATCCATAGGTTTCCAATGTTCCTTCTACATGAAGTGCCAAATGTGGTCTATGCAAGCCTGCTTGCCAGTGGACTTGCTCTCCTTTAGGTTTCCAGATGTGCGGCCAGCTAAATGTACTTTTTGTTACATGTTTTTGTGGCAGTAGTAGTGATCATTGTCACTGCAGAGGCATGGGAAGCTTGTTTGATGTGATAGAAGGCCCTGGTGTCAGATTCTGTGAGGTCTGAGAGGTATCTGACCACTCTTCTGTCAATAGAAGTCAAAAGTGAACCCTCAGGAAATTCATTTTGCTTTTAATTATGTTTTCGAGAGAGTCAATAAGGACTCTCCTTTGAGAGGTAAATGCAGATACTAATTTCAGATGGTGTTTAGTAGACATCTGTATTTCTATCATCACGTTCAGCTTTTGGGCAAAAAAACATAAAGAGGTGTTCCCACTGGGACACCTCATTCCAGCTGCCTTTTATGCAGTAAGGTGGGGTTTTTTTGTAGAGTAGGTCTTCCACCTACTCTGTATGAAAGAGTTAACATGGGGGAGTGTTATTCCATAATCCTTTGGAAGCACTGAGATACTGATCTGATTTAGTGCTGTAGAAAGTTAGGCAGGTAGCTGGGTATGTGGCCATAACCAGCTCACTTAATGGAAAATACATGAGAACTTGGATGGGGGACAGGGCTGGACTCGTGCCATTCTCCCACAGTCGCAGAGCTGGGTCAACAACCAGCTTGTTAGAAAGTCCTCTGAATAACCACCAAAAAAACCCAAGCCAGTGGGAGTTGGAAGAATCTGGTTTCTTTTGCTATCCTGAAACATTGGTCCATCCATAGGACACGTTGAGCTTTTGAGTAGGCTCAGGGGACAGAGAAGTAGCAAGCCACAGAGATCATAAGAAGAGGATGAGGGGTGGAAATATCCCTGAATGGCTAGTTGCCTACTTGTAGCATCCAAATCCAACAAATACAGCAGAGCAGATGGGAGGTTTAGTACATTACGGCAGAAAACCCACTATAAAACCCATCTCATCCCCCTTGAGGACAGTAGTTTCTATTACTCACTGTTCTTATGGTTGTTGCAGATGACACCTCCTGCCTCTGAGGTATTAAGATCAAGTGTATTTAATTGTGGCTAAAAATAATGTCCCCAATAGGGTGTTGTAGCACAGTCTAATGTTGGAAAGGAAATTGGTGATTTCAAGCAACGCAGGAAATTTGTGGACAGTTATAAGATGCATGCCTTCCATTACACAAGTGATTTCGATGTTTGCATGAAGCCAGGAGTTTCCTGTTCCTGCAGTGGTAATCACTGTGATCATTAGAAGACGTATCTTCTGGAAGTGGAATGAGTGAAATGACAAATGTGTCAGAAATAGCATGGCTGGCTGAGCTTTGTGAGTTCACCTTCACAGTAAGGAATCAGTACATCCAGTTCACCCTGCTCGGAGTTGCTAAACCTAGAGCTATGCGAGTCGATCAGGACAGAAGTTTAATGACAGCAGCATGCATGTTTTGAAAAGCACTAGAAAGGCAAATCCTCATTCATTTTGTTTAATTTATTTTTTTCCCTCGGCTATGGTTGCAGAAACTGGAAGAGAAGTTCCGGCTGAACAGGCGAGAGCTGATCGCCTTCGAGTTCCCAGTGCTGGTGGCCTTGGAGTTTGCTCTCCACCTTCCTGAGCACGAAGTGATGCCTCACTACAGACGCTTGGTGCAGAACTCCTAGCGCTGGCTGCCCTGCGGGGAAGGGGCTACCGACTGTTCCAGCTTGGCTCTCCTGAGCCACAGTTACTACTGGAAATGCAAAATCAGACTCCTTACAGTTCACTCTCTCTCTCTCCCCAAAACAGTTTTTCTGGCAACGTATAGGAAACACTGCATCAACGTAAGACTTTCAGCTTTGACAAATTTACGTATCATTGCTTTCTCAAAGCAAGTGAAGACTGAGCTGTTGGTAAATGGTTCACATGCTGAAACTGAGTGGTGACTGACCCCACCTGTAGGGACTACAGCTATAAAAGTAGGCAAAATTTAGAAGGGCAGCCTCCATGACCACCCCTCTCTGCATCACACAAACCCTGGAAGCCCACTGAGTGCATTCTCATAGCGCTTTTTCTACAGACCTGCTGCAAATTCCAAGAGGACTTCTTGAAGTGAAAAAGCTTTTAGAAGATATCTTCACTGTGTCAAAAAGAATGTGCCAATCTATTTTTGTATCAGCAATTGAAAGTGCACTTTTTCCTGTGGGGTGTTTGTGTGTGTATCTGTGTGTGTGTGCGTGTGCGACACCAAACTGATCTCAGTCCAGGTGGTTGGCTTAGCTGTTTCCAAGTGTATCAGTTACTGATGGTGAAGATCAAGGTGACCTTACACATTTACTTCTTGAAAAACATAACTACTGGAAAAGTGGTAAATGGGATCATTTTTGGACACTTGTTTTTTTTAATCTCTGATCTTTCCAATATTGTACCTTTGAAAGCATTACACTACTACTACTACTGCGAGAGAAGGATCAGCAACTGACCTTAAGTTTTCAATCATGTTTGTGGTAAAGATGGAAGCATTAGTATAAGATTTCCATGTCATGTTTTTTAAAAATATCTTGTGTTAAGCCACATGCATATTTTTAACCTTCGCACTTTTCCCACTGTGGAGATGGTTAGACTTGCACTCTGTAGTGTTGTATTTCTGTGCTCTATGTTAGAGTGCGTAATAAGCACATTTATTGTGCTCTATCTTAAAACAGTGTTTTATTAAAAAAAAAAAAAGAGTAGGGCTCAGCAGTATAACAGGTGTCTTAAGGCTCCAACAGCAGGGGCATCAGCCGTTAAAGTTTTGGGTTTTTAATTAGAATTGACTGTGCAAAACCTAAAATCTGTGCCCATTGAAGTTAGAGATGCAGTTCCTTTAGACATTTCAGTACTGGAGTTTTACAGTAAAACTTCTTGCAGCTTCCCTGGTTCTGACTGGACACTTGAGGGCTTCATCCAAGCTCCCAATGCTACATACACACTAAGCTAGTGCCATGCTTACAGACATTGTTCAATTGCTGTTATCATGTGGGATTACACCCCTATCCAGTCTTCTCCTGTGCTGGTTCACTTAACAAGCCTTGCCCTAACATGCCCCACATGGATCCACTAAAATCAAATTATTACATTTGTGGTAATTATATAAAATAATGATCTCAACTGTGAGATTTTAGCTGAAGCCTTACCTCTCTTAGTTTGAGAGTGCTTGCTCAGAGTACAGAAAGGGCTTGTGAGAAGAACGTAGAGAAGTGGGACATACCAGAGGATGTAAACACACTAATGCTTACTTTCTTTTGCTCTTACTTAAATCAGTTTTATTATTTCCTTCAGTTAGGCCAGGACACATCCAGTTTCTTTACCAACTTTGATTCCTTTAAATCCTGTTATTAAAAAAAAGCCTGTATGTGATTGCTGTACAGGATCTGGAAAGGTTGCACATGTCAGGACAAATGGGAATTTGTTTGATGCTGTTGCTCTCCCCCCATTTTATAGGGGAGAGTGACTATGCTAGCTTACACTTACTATTAATACTTATCTGATTACTGATATAGATACATTCCAACAGGATTGGGGAGGACGGGCTAAAGAGAAAAATGTGCACTTAAACCTTCCCAGTGTAATGCCCCATGTCGCTGCAACCCGCGCATCACTTGGCCAGCTGCAAAGTGAGGGGAGGGGGGCCCTTGACAGCACTCTTACTCCCTCCTCCTCCTCCTCCTCCTCCTCCTTCTCCTGGCCCCCACGCAGCCAAGGAACAGAGGAGCCAAGAGCCTGGAGCATGCCTGAAGCCTACACAGCTGCCCTGCCAGTTTATTCAGACCAAAAAGGCAGTGTAGTGTTGACCTACAAGCCAAAACAGTCTGTGGGTCTGCTAGGAGGGCTTCCATCCTTGGCTGTATCCCCTTCCACCGAAATTGTGTGTATATGTGTTCAAGATTTGTTTCTGATTGCAGAGATCTGTTTCTAATAGCGACTACTCAAAGTTAAGCAGAAGCTTTACCTTTCTGTAAAGGCTTCTACCTTTTGCTTTTGAGTCTCATTTTTTTCTTATATTGCTTTATAGCATTGCAGGGAAAAAGAAAATTGTGATTGCAAGATGCAGACTAAAGAATGACAGTCTTACAGTAGTCTTTAGAGACGCTATTGAATCATGCTGTCACATCTTTTGTCTTCTGTGCTGCTACCCAACCCTGATCTACAGTTTACACAGATTTCTGGGAGGAAATCTGATTGCTGGAGACTTTCTGCTTTTCATTATTGTTATTGTTGTTTTGGGGGTGGAAAAGTGTTTCAGAGTGATGTTCAGTTACAGTTTGAATGTGGAATAAACACTTAAGATGGTGATGATGTTGCACTGTTCACTTAGGAACGTATATAAAGCCATATGATGCTAGATCTCAGAGCACAAAGCTTGGTCAGTACAATTATGATTAGGACAATGGGCAGGATTTGCCCCCTGTTTCTCCCCAACCCTGGGAAAATTCAGGCTGAAGTGGTAGAGAAAATCTGTACCAAACAAAAAATGTGTTGATTGTTTTCCTTTGTCTTACATGGCAACGAGTGTTGATTTACAAATGATTTTAGGTTCAACCTTAAATAGTTTGGGAAAATAATCCATTCCATATCACTTGTTCTGTTTTGAAATTATATACCGTACACTCTACCATGCAGAGTTTATTCATTTTCTAAAAAAAATAAATAAAAGTTTTAAAAAAACTTGAAAAGCTCATACTTTTTCCACCAGTATGTAAAATTATTCCATCTCTCATCTGTATGTGTACAGGGTTTTGGTTTTGTCTTCCTCTGGGACACAGAGCTGCTTATTAGTGAGCCAGTAGTGGGATTACCCAACGGCCCTCGCCGTCTCCTGGCATTCAGCTCCCTGCAGAGCCCTCAGGATCTTTCCTCCAGGCAGATCTTAACCTTCATTGTTTTGGGTTTGTTGGGATTTTAAGCCCTGCTTTTTGGCACCAGCCTCTCCTCCTGGAGTTGTCAGGACCAGCTTTTCTGAGTCCAAACTGTCAGTATGCAGAAGGATGAGGCACAAGCAGGCTCCTCAGCATTGTTCTTATCTCATGACCCTTTGTGCACAGGAGAATTTGGAATATGCCATTTTGTTTTAGTCCAGGTGGTAGTAAAATTTACAGCTGGTCCACCTACCAGTTGTAGTTCACAAGAAACTGCTTTCTCTTCAGAGGTCGAAAGTTCAGTTTTGGACATTCGTGTGTGTGCACACCCAACTGTCCACCACCTGTTAGCATTCAAACTGTTTTTTCACCTATGATGCCCCCTAAATCCAATACCCATCTAGGTGGTCTCACCAAACAACACCAATTTACTATGCATTTTCATTCCACATTAATAAAGTTTGGAAAAGGTTTGGCTCCCCACCTTCACCCATCACTCCAGAGACCCTCAACTGTAAATCATGACAATACAAACATTAGCATGATTTACATTGACCCCAGAACATACACACATACAGAAAAATACTTAGCAATCATTTTCGAAAACTACTTATTAACAGGCAAGGCCTTCTTTGGGATAGTTTGTAATATATTTAGATTATACAACCTCAAGTCATTGCTCCAGCCTTCTAAAATATGCTCACAGCATAACTTCCACTTCTGTGGAAGCAGTGAGGAGTAATTTTTTAAGAGTCGATTACACCTTCCCACGATGCTAAAGGATTTTGGCACCAGGTCCCACAGTAAACATTAAAAAAAAACCCAAACCAAAACCAAAACAAGGTAAAAGTAGTTTAGCGAGGTGAGAGACTGAGCAATCACAGTGACAATGCCAACATCACTAGCTGAGAATGAAATCTGTCCCAAGTTGCACCTTTGGGAAGGGAGGGAAGGAGTGTGGGAAGCAGACTGGAACTTCATTTGTTCATCTTTTATTGTAAACTCTGTAATGAAGAGTGGGAAAAAGGAGGAAAAAAGGAACGTTAGGTGCATCCCTTCACAGAATGTTGTATGCAAAGCAAAAAGGCCTTTCTGAAATCCTAAACCATTATCCTTCCCACCAACTTTACTGTGAACCCATACAGCCAGAGACCCCCCTGCCTCAGCCTGGAGCCTGCAAGTGCAGATGAGTTCAGAGGAGAGCTTTTCAGTCACTACAGAAAAACCCAAACACCTTGCCCAGACCCCAGCAGCAAACACCCACACCAACAGTATGACAGAGAAGCAATGCTTACAGCGTGACACTAGGAAAGAGCAGGAACTGCGATCCTGGAAAATGGCCTGCATACCTTCAAAGCAAGGCAGGAGTGAACCAAGAAGTTACTGAAGTTGCTGCTGACTTGAGCAGCAAACACTTCCACCCCTTAGCAAGAGCTAAATATTGGCTACTATCATAATTTTCCCTTTCTACACATTGAACTAGTCTCTCATACAACCCTTTCCGTAATCTTGCTGAGCATCATCTTAAACCACCTAGGACCCTTGCCTCTGCTACACTGTTTAGACAGATGCTCCAGGCCTTAATTCCTCAAACCTGAAGAAACCTTCTAGTTTGCAGTCAGATTTCATTGGTGACCAATTTATAACTTGTTGAACTCATGTCAGTATCTCATCTCACTTTGTGCTGGTTTAAAAGTAAACCGGTGGGAGAAATGAACCCAACTCTAGAGAGATTGTAAGTCAGAGTTACAATTTACTAAAAATAAATTACAATAGATTGCAATGATACAGAGAAAAACTGGTTTTAACCCACAAAACCAGATGTATAACCCAGCGCCCTGGGATAAGAACAGAACAGTGTTTGTTGGCCCCTGTGGTGAGCACCACATGGCCCCCCGGGTGCAAAGTAAAAGGAAAGGAAAACCTGTTGATCCAGATGATGGTGGCAGTTCTGTTGAGGTAATGATCACAGTCCTGTTGAGAGTGGCAGTGGCAGTCCTGTTGGAGTTCTGGTCCTCCTCTTGATCCAACAAGTGGTACCAGAAGTCCCAAAACCCCAAGATTATATATGCTCAGGTTCAGGTGGGAATGTCCAATATCTCCCCTAGGGCAGGGAGTTTCATAATGGGTGATTTAACTCTGTCACTCATGGGATATTTTTGGAGTCTTTGATGGTCTAGGTGTTGCAGTTGCCTATTATGCCAGTCCAGTATGGCCCATTAGCAGAGGTGACCCCTCAGGCTGGATGTGAAGGTGCTAATTCCTCTCCAGAAGGGAGTTATCATAGCTCAGTCATTAGGTGTGCCCTGGGCAGCTGCTGCAAATGATCCATTATAAACAGTCCATCAGAAATGACATAGAGGGTGTAGAATACACAGTTTTGGTTATACCCACATAGTAATAAACTGGTCTCAGCCCCTGTAACTAGGACAAACTTGAAACTGAAATCTTTCCCTATGGGAAGTCTGGGGTAGGAGGGTCCTCAGTAGCAGCTGATATTCTTAACCAAGTTCTGGCATTTAGGTAAGCAAGATAATAAAAGGAGAAAGGAAAGGCAAGAAAACCAATCCTCTTCCAAGAGCTTCCAAGTGCAGTGAAGTGTTGCCTTGGCTAATATCAGTGGGTATGACTATTGGGGGAGAAGCTGTGCAAGCCAGGTTTTCAGCTCTCCTTTAAAAGGAAACACAGCACCAACAAAAAGGGAAGCTAGAGGGCATCACCACAATTGTCCACGTGAGCATCCCTAGAGGAAAAGGGAGAACTGAGGCGTGTTGAACACATGTTCACCTAAAGAAAGAGTTGAAGCAATGACTACCCACTCATCATCATCTTCATCATCTTCACCATCATCTCTTCTTAAGAAATGGATCTCTCATCTCCCACAAGTCCTGTGAGAGGACTAAGAGGGTGCTGAATGAACAGCATGATTGAAATGCAACCATTAGCAACCTTCCTTCTGCCTTCCAAGTCAAAAGTGAGCTATTCAAAGAAGACTTGGTCTGTGCTCTGACCTCCTGTGATGCAACCCACAAACTGGCTGCACTGTTGCTCCTCACAGAGCACAGGCATTTTAAAACATCTAAGCATAGATTTAGACATTTTAGGTGGACAAAGTCCAATATATTTCCAAACATCAGTACGTTGTTAGAATTTCACTATTTAATGCCTTCTTCTAGAACAACATCCTCCCAGCTATCTTGAAACATCGTCCAATGAGCAGCAGAGAGTGGGTGGCATCAACATCTGGGCTATTTCCATGGGCAGAGATGACAATGCACACAAAGCCAACACTGTCATCTCCCATGACAGTCCGAGAGGTTAATTTATGTTTTCTGAATATAAAACTCTGCAAACTGTCATCTCCCTTTCAGGGCAACCTATATATCCGTGCAGAATGGAGTTGAATGAAGGTAACAATCCTCATAGAAGAAAGAATTTTTTTTATTTTTTTTTTGTCTAGTACAGACTCCTTCATTTCCTCAAACCTGAGAAATACCATGCCTAGTCAGACTTCTGCCAGTCAGTGGAACATAGGAGGCATTGCATTGAGATGTACTCTCCTAGGAACATTTCAGATATCACAGTTAAAATTATGGATCATGCAGACAGATTAGGAACTATGAGATCCTATTTCCTCTCTTATTCCTTGTTATGGGCTTTTCTCTTGACTACTGCTGTTTAAGCATTTTTTTTCCCTTTTTTTTTTCCGCTTTTGGTTCACCTTTTATTATTTCAACGAACACAAAGATAAACAGAAGCTGGTGCAGTGCTGGGAGTTGGGTCTGGCTGACTCTTTCACACGGTGCATCCGGAGCTGCAGACTCCACCCTTCGTCTGATTTATTTCAAAAGCCTGCTGTGTCCATTAATGGAAAATTGGACTCTGTTCAGGCTGTGATGGTGTCCATGGACAGGAAAATGGAAAGTTTCAGACTAAAGCTGCAGGAGACCAGGAAGAAAAATATCTGGAGAATTTAATTGATGGTGGCAGCAGTTATTACAGACAAATACTAAAGAAATGGCAGTTTGTGACCCAAAGCAGATCTTTAGGTGGAAAGATAAAGGAGAGTAGCATGAACATCTGCAAGGCCACAGGGCTGACAAATTGAAATATTCTTCGCCAGCAGGAAGTTCAGACATTTTGCAAAACTGAACATACACAATAGGACAACAATCATTGTGATGTTAAATTTGCTGATCATCCAAGTTATTAACTTCTTAAAGATCTGAGACATATCTGATGACACTCGGGCATCCCCTGTGCACTTTTGTGCTCCTCAATAGGTTTAAGAAAGTGATAGGAATCTCAGAGACATCATTCTGCAGTTTTATTAGAATGAACAGCTGAGTGAAGTTACCATAGGAGCCTTTACTGAAGACCTTATAAGACATTGGAGAAGCCCATCAAGGCACATAGAAACCCATCTACACCTGAATT